TAACCAACCTATATGGTCCGGAAAGTATAGTCTTATCCAGGGGATCTTCTCACGGGAACATCTTACCGTGCGTTCGCTTGATGGGACTTCTATTATCCAACTTAGTTATCCTTAAAAATTTCACTACTTTTCTCCAAAAATCAAGTTTCCCCTTTTTAATAATCCGACCGTGCAAAATGTGCATTCCAGAGTTTTACGGATGATTGTCCTTTTTGAGGTTTTTCCGGATTTGCATTCCTTAATCCGCAACACTTCCTCCACCAAGTAGGAACCATTGCTGTCTGTATTTCCATGTATCTTCAATTACCTACTGTCTATCTGGTCAACAATTAGGGCAAAGTATTGGAGGTTGGCATGACCGGCTTTCGAACTATTTCATTCCGTACTGTTGGTATTCTGGACAATTATGCAATGCGTACTTATTCAGGTTTCTTTTGTTTTGTAATTTTTACCTAATTTTTTGCGACTCTTCCTTAATTTTATACACATTATAAATGCCAGCCCAATACTACAGACCATTTTGCTGTTGGGCCAGCTGGTGTTTTAGCGGTCATTTGGAACTTATCGCGTTTTAAACCTTCAAATAGGTATAAACTGGGTCTCTCCGTCCAGTATTCATAATACGCTGCTTGAGATTTGGTAAATAATCCCTCAGATTTTGGAAATTTTCTCGGAAGTGGCATGGTTTAACGCTACACGGTTCCGTCTGATTAAACCGAAAATCAGGCCTCCTGCCCAGAATGCTCTTTCCAAAGAGCAAGGTTGAAATTCTTTGCGGGAAAGTAGAAGCAAAGTGATAGTTTGAAAAGCTGACCAGATAATGTCTACTCTATGCCGCAAGATCAACTTACAATCCCCCATGCGGTATTTGCATGGTCTATTTCCATAAATGCACAAGCCATAACTTCTAATATAGTTTTTCCACTCGACTGGTAAACGCCTAAGTAATTATCATCGAAACATTCTGACACGCTTGAAGCTATCACGGTGCATTAAAAGCGCTGGCTTGGAGGGTTGCCAACCGGCGGGACAACTCGGACCGCCCAGTCAGTTCAGTGTGCGTCTTGTTGTGTGGAGTAGCTGACTGGCGGATTGAGAGTCAGGCTGCAATGGTCCCTTCTTAATTTGGCCTTTATGGCTCTTTCATTCAGCTGAGATCCGAGACAGGTGTGGCGGCACGCTTAGGAGCGGCTCTGGCCGCGTCGGCCACCTGCGCACTCTCCTGCCTGCGATCTCCTTGACTTGGCCATTGTTTTGTATTCAAAACAGTAAGCAGCATTATACACAGGAAAAAGTACCGACAATGGCCATTTTCCGGCTTATTAGCTGTCGCCAGTCAATCGTATTCAACCCCATAGCTTCATGACCTAGGATTCGAGCCTGGATTTGGTCCGATCTACAAGAAATGACTTCAATCATGCAAAATGCCGAAATTTTGGAAAACTTGATAATCACTAGCAAACCAGCATTACTGCATGTACGAAAACGTGGAAATAGTAATGAACAACCGTAAGCGAATTTAAGACTCAAAGGAAATATAAAAATTAGCATTACTTTGTTTAGAATATCAATTTTTGTAAAAAAAAAAAAAGCTGTTTAATCCGAAAATGTGACAAAGTGCTGGAATTCTGACCAATAACTGCAAATAGAATTGTCAGGCTAAACGACTCACATACCATTTCGTAAAATTTCTTTATAGATATTTATGGTATTTGATTACAATTATTTTCAGATTGTCCTTGAAATTTTGGCGAATATTTCAGGATTTCCCGTGTTTTTCCATTAAAGTTAGATTCTGTTTTATGTGGTTATCAAAGCCGTCGAAGTAAGATAGTTCTCAGAAGCATTTACCGTAAAACGTGCCGCCTTTTTCCCAGTGGTTATTAAAATACACTACATGTGATGTTAAGTGTTCGGTTCCTTTTACTGCTCCCACGTGGCAACGCCCGCGACAACAAGTCCTGGCTAAGCCTGTTTGTCTCTGTTTCTGCTCCCTCCCTCCGTCCTGTCATTAGGGCCCGGCTGCCCTCACTGTCACAGTTGACGAGGCTACGCGAAGACGTGAAAGACAGGCAACGGAACGCGAAATGGAACGCCTGTCTCAGGCTCTGCAGTCTCTGACACGTTCTGCTCTGCCGCTGGGCAAACTGGTGGACTTCCTTCAGGAGGACCTCGAAAGCATGCAAACGGAGTACAGGGAGTGGAAGGCCGAAGATCAGCGTCTGCAGTTGCAGCTCAATATGGTGTTAAAGTAAGGCCGGATCATAGTTTTATTGGTTAATTTTTTGGCCAATCACTATCTGACTGTATGGTCGACGCTCAGTGCACAGAACACTGTTGCGTATAATGTCTACTTTTCAGGATTTTTTGCTTGTAGAACAAAGTTTAGTATCTCGATTGATTCCGCAAGGAAGCATCGAAGATACTCTTGTTAGCATAGTCATAGTTGTCGTCAGGGGCCCTCGTGATATATTGTCACAAGGACCCAAACTCTTATTCTCAAGATCTAACTAAGTATGCTTTTAAAGTGCTCGTACTTACGACATCTTCACAAATACGATAAAGTATCCGGTGCTGTAGGATACTTCGTTGTTTTTTTAAGCAATCAAACACGCACTGATTGGACAGTGTCGCATATCAACGGGGTTTTCCGTTGTCCCCTCAAAAATTAATGTGTGTGTCGTAGCCCTAAATGTTGGCCGCGCCCGCCGCCTGCGCCCTCCCCCGTCTCTGGTCTTCTTCACTCTTGTCTTGACGCCGGGTTCCTGTGTGGGAGTGGTCAGAGAGGAGAGTAGACCCGGCGAGTCTACTTTCACTGTAATCCAGCCGCAGTCATCACGTTGCTTCAGCTTGCTGAGGCTCGTTGTGGACATCGTCGAGATCGACGGTCGAACTGTCGTAGCCCTGAAATTAGTGTGCGGCAACTACCGTCGGGGAAAACAGACGCAGGACCGGTTTTTCGGGTTTCTTTCGGTCTGTATCGCAGTTTGAGTTCAAACTCGTTTGTAAGACACAGAATGCGGCATATGACAGTGCGTTAAAAGAAGATGGGCACATCGGCTGCCAGGTACTGTTTTGGTTTGTGGCCTTTTGGCATTGAGTTGTAACGCTTTGCGGAAACCAGCGACCAGCCATGCTGACTACTAAAGGTTTTTTTCATATTTAAATCGAGTCAAATTCGCGGCGACTAATCCTACTGCGAACAAACAGTCCATAAATGTCGAAGAACATAATAGGGTGTCATTCTGACCCAATCGGAAAGCTTCTAGAGTTGAGTAGATGGGAGAAAACGAGTTTTATCGGAACAAACACGAAACGCCTGTTAACTGAAGCAGTTAGTACGATAATAAGGCAGTGATTCACAGCGTGTCCGCCCCCAAACATTATGAAGTGCACTGTTCACCGTCCTTTTGGTGTGCTGCCTTGTTTAACGCTTCCTTTCCACAGTAGGTTTGCACGCCTAACTTTTCTTTATAACCATAGTCTCAGCATATTTGCTGAGCGTCTTTTACAATCACTTATACCGTTTTGGAGAATGTAACCAAAACATCAAAGTCTACAGGGTCTGTGCTTCTATAAAAACGGCAGTCAACTGTTAACACTTCCCAATTACTGCGGTTCTGCGTATCATTTTAACCATAAACAGATGACGTGTGTGTAGGCGGTAGTCACCTTTAAATAACGTCCTTTAGTTTTAAACAACCAGCAGGGAGCTTCGGATATGTGATCGAATTTCCACCCTTGCAATCATTCATTCTATTCATTTAATGCAAAATAGGCACAGGATAGGTTTGCAGAGGTCAGTTCTGTCAAACCTACCATCCCATTACTGTGCACCGCAAATTCTTATCTGGTGCCCCTGGACGGAATGCGTTCTAAAAAAGTTCGGTCGCTCTAGAATTAAATGTGTGTTTTACAAGGAACGTTTGCCAGAAATGCAGTTCAC